AGTATATACACGTTTACACATTACTAAGATTTTGCATAAAACTCTTATTCCAATGGAGTACTCCGATTCATCAATGCCATTATGAATATATAACGTATGGGTGTTAGTGTCTTATGGCTAACAATACTTTGACATGAGTGTTTCGCCAAGGCTCGAATCTATATTCCCAACTCATCTTTACATTATAKACAGTGTTCCTAAGTTCACTCTTTTATCATAAGGGACATTCCATTTTCAACCAAGCAAGTGATTATTATAGAGTTAACGTAAGCAGTAAGTGTAATACATCTCCTCATTTGATATAAGATTTCATAAATAGAAATAGGGTGAACTCACATCGTAGGATTTAGGAGAAATCCTAGAATTTTGAAGCTAGGTGGAAGTGGATAAGCTACTTGACGAATCATGGTGTTTGGATTGCTCGGTCGGCAAGGTCGGAGATCGGGTGAAGGGGGTATCAATCGCAGTCCGTTGATTTCTTCTCCTGCCTTGGGATTTCTGGTGAGCAGCAAAATAGGGAAAAAATATGGAGAAGGGATTGGGAAAGTAGCACTTGGCTCTTCTTGAGAGGGCGAATGTGGGAGGCCAATGGGTTTTCTTTCCATCTATTTCTAAACAAAATACAATAAAACTAGTGTTCCTCTTTTCAAGAACCTCGCCCCCTTCTAACAGCCTTCTCTCCTCTAGAGACTCCACCCCCAAGATTGAAATATAGGTTCAAGTCTTCCATGGAAAGTAAGGGACCACAAAAGGAAGGGTGTACACTAAAAATGGGGGGTAGGATACTAGGGCTGCAGGACAAGACCCCCCCTCCTTTTTCAGACACAAAAATAAACATCCCCTCAACTTTAACAATATATATATATATATATATATATATATATATAGGGGTGAGTTCAAATAAAAACCACTCAATTTGTAAAAACCGTGAAAACCTCATTCAACCAATCATAATTTTTCATTTTGTTCATTTTTTTATAATTATGAGAGGTTGATTAACCATTTTTATTGTGGAGGGTGTTAATCATGGATATTATCATCTTCATAATTTTAATTTTAGAGAAATACATGAAACAGTTTCATTAAAATTTCATTAAGTAGTATATGAAACAATTTATAACCACATATGAAACAACTTTATCAAAAAAATATTGTATGAAACAATTTCACAAGATTAACAATTTCATGAAAAAATTTCATAAGATTAACGATGGATGAGAGTAGTTTTTACGGTTTTTA